TTTAATTAGACAGAAGTGCCTCTTTCCACAGCATATTGTACGCTTTCTCCACATCAGAGTACGCTGCTATTACTGTTCCTTTATTTATTTGAGCTTTCCTTATTTCCTCTTCCAAATTTATCACATGATCCATTGTGTTTCTTCCTTTTCAAAACTCCATTTCGACCTCCAGCTGATATATTTCTACTCTCTAAGAAATACATTAGTCTTTCGTTTATCGTGCTTTCCATTATTTCACACACATGTGGTGTAAATGCTAATGGCCTGTAGTTCCCAGGTCTACTTGCGTCTTTCCCAGGCTTCCTTATTGGAATAATTACTGCTTCTTTCCAGCTTTGTGTCAATTTTCTGTCCTCCTACACTCTATTATACAGCATCAGTAGTTTCTCCTGGCTTTCTGGACTTGCATGCCTTAACATACTGTAACATATTTCGTCTTTTCCTGGATGGTGCGGTTTTCCCTGTCCTGTTCAATCCTCCTTGCGGTCCTCTCATGGTTAAAGGGACATTTTGTTCCCCATCACCGTTATTTTTCCTCCATAACGCATTCACTACTTTTGTTCTTTCTCTACCTCTTTCTTCTGATAAATTATTAGAGCTGTTTATCTTAACCAAGGCTTTCGCCATCATCTCTACCTTTTACTTATTTGTTACTGCAGTTTCATTTGGATAGCGCCTTTCTCTCCCATCACCCCCCCCCCCTTCTTTTTTAATCAAACCCCACATCTATTCAGTCCGAGTAGTTTCCAATTGAATCACAATATGTTTTCCAGTTCCAGCATTGAATGTCCTTTTGGTTTGTCTTATTGTCCTCCTCACTTCTGCCTGAGCTTGCTTATACTGAATCATGTGTTGAAAATTGTACTTCCAACTATTCTAAATGCTTTATTCTTTTTATTTTTATTTAATTTACTACATCTTTACATTTGTCATCCCGGCATGTTAATACTTTCTTTTTAATTCTTCCTTTACTCTTGGGAATGGTCTCCGCTGCCACCAATATTATTATACCTTGCTTTATTTTTGTTTCATTGTTCATTTGGACCATTTATAAATGAGTTTTTAAATATCCTAATATCCTACTATCCTACTTTCCTCCTGAAACGTTTCCCCAGTTTGCCTTCCCATGATTCCACTTCTCATTTATGCTACCTGTGTATTTATTTTACACCACTGTGGATAATTATCACTGCCTATTGTTCCTTCTTGATACACTGACTAATCACATATTAACATCTATTCTTGTTATTTCATTCACCATTATTTAAGCACACGCAATTCTTCTCATCTAATATTTATTCTACTATTTGGCCATTATTGTCTATTCTATCACATGCCTTTTCTCTTACCCTAATCTGCTGTGCCTCCGTCTCTTTCTTGAAGTGCTTTACTTTCCCAGTAAGCTACACTGTGATTTCCTTCACAATTGTAGCACTTAGGTGTCGTTTCCTCACCACACTTCCCATAATCGTGTTTCCCACCACATCTGGCACACCTTCTCTTCCCTTTGCACATCTGGGCTGTATGTCGAAACTTTTGGCAGTTATAACATCTCATCTGTTTTACTACATTCTCTCTTACATTATACCTTACAAATCCAGAATGTACCTTGTCGGTTATCTCTCTTTCTTCAAATTCAATCAATAGGGACTCTGTCTCCTTTTTCTCTATTCCTTTTGTCATACTTTTTTTGTTTGTTGTGGTTCAGGTGGTAGAGCCAGTTATATACTAATCGTAGGGTTGGCAGTTCGATTGCTGGCAAATGTGTCTCCACATGCCGAAGTGTCCTTGGCCAAGACACCGAACCCCAAGCTGCTCCTGATGGCAAGTTAGTGCCTTGCATGGCAGCTCTGACATCATTGGGGTGTGTGTGTGTGTGTGTAAATGGGTGAATGAGGCACAGTGTAAAGCGCTGTGTAGGATTCACCATTTACTATTTTCCCGCATTATTTCTCTACTATTAACATTAATGGCAACCCCATAGGGCACACGGTGGCTTAATGGTTAGCACGTCCGCCTCACACCTCCAGGGTTCGATTGCCACCGTGGGCCTGTGTGTGTGGAGTTTGCATGCTCTCTTCCTCCCCCAGTCCAAACACATGCATGGTAGGTTGATTGGCGTGTCTAAAGTGTCCGTAGTGTATGAATGGGTGTGTGAGTGTGTGTGTGATTGTGTCCTGTGATGGACTGGCACCCTGTCCAGGGTGTACCCCGCCTTGTGCCCGATGCTTCCTGGGATAAACTCCAAATTCCCCATGACCCTGAAAAGGATAAGCAGTATAGAAGATGGATGTATGGGAACCCCATATATCACCCCTTTGCAACCATCAGACCTCTTTTCTCCAACTTTGACGCCCTTTTGGACCTTAACTTTTCCAACATTTCTCATCTTCCTGCCCTCCTCAATTTGATCTTCAATCTTACATCCAATTACCAAATTTCCATCTCGTAGAATCCTTGCATATTTCACTCCCCCTATCTGATTTTTGTTCATTTAATCGGGTCGACTTTCTTAATTCCCCTCTCTCCTTCAAATCTAACAACTCTATCCAGTCCTTCCTTCCTTCTTTTTTCTCCCTCTTCACCTCCTTCACTTTCCGATTCTCCTATGCTAGATGCATCTTTTTTTCTTTCTTTTCCGACTTTTCACTTTCCTTTCCCTCCCTTCCCCACGCTTTCCCACTCACTTGCCCTCCTCTCATCTTCCGCATTACAAACCATGCTATTAATCTCACAATCTGTTTCTTTCCCTGACATTTTCCCATAGTTTTGCAAGGAACTTTGTGATATTATTGTTCCGGACCTATACAGTTTTACAGTTGACAACAATAGCCATCTAATAATGTTTTATCAGGTTTACTTCAGTTTTGAGGAGTTGTTGTTTTTTTTTTTTTTTTTTTTTTTTTATAAACATTCCAGAAATGTTCACCTACGAGTCACCTATGAAGCTCGGACGCAGGTATGCTGGAGTCAAACCAGTGTCCTGTTGCAGTTCGTCTTAATGGCCGTACCACTTTCTCATAACAATGACCGAGAACGTTTATTTAACTCGACTACTGTCCAGGTTAAATTGCTTATGTGATAACGTTACAGCATTTAGCAGATGCCCCAATCCAGAGCAATTTATAGAAGTGCTTTGGAATCTCTAATTAAAAACCCATTCTCATGCTGGTTCACAAGGACAGGGACTATTAATACCATGGAGAGAATTATTTGAAATCGAGTCATTTTATATTATAATTGGCACTAATTAAAGAATATAAAAAATTACGTAAGTGAGTTAACCCAAACGCATTAGTTTTAGGCTATTAGTTCACTAGGTCAGGGAGTAAGTGTGCCATCAGTCTAAAACACCGTTGAGGAGGTGGTATACTGTAAAAAAACAAAGTACTTTACTCAGCTGTTCGGACATCCAGAGGAAGTTCATTCCACCACCCGGGTTCTGGAACAGAGAAGAGTTTTGATGCATGCCTTCTCTGTACTCTGAGAGATGATGAGACCAGTCAGCAGTGCTAGAGGCGCAGAGGGAGCATGGTGCAGTGCAGGCTGTGATAAGCGTTTTAAGGTAGATGGGTGCTGGTCCATTTTTGGCTTTGTATAAAGCCAAAACGTTCCCAGAACGTTCTGATATTTTTCGTTCCTGCTTTGTTTTCCAGGAGTGTTTTCTTTACAGAAAAACTAACTAAATAACCTCTGGTCGACATTCCTTGTTCCTTTTTGTGATATAACCATAAGATAACATTGTATTGTAAAGTTGTATGTTTTGGGAATAGTGATGACATTGTTAACCCAAAAAAACAAACCAAAAAAAAAACAACCCAGAAATGTTCCCTGTTTGTTTTAATGTGGTTCTTGAAAAATAACCAGAGGAGAAACGTGTTCATGTTAGGAAAATGTTCTGTGTTTGTTGGATTTCTCTCATGCGACGACATAATCAATAATCTCTAGAGCTTTAAGTTGTTCAGCTCTAAATATAATGACTGAATGAAGGAATGAATATTGTATTAGTGCATTAATAATTAAAAGTTTACTATGTGTTTAAAAGGAAGAATCAGAACTCTATCAGTAATATCAATAGCCGTGTTAATTGAGAAATGCTAGCGTTGCACTTATCATTTAGATACACAGGAAATTAGCGTCTGTAAAGTGTGTTTCTGTTTAAAGTAGTATAAAGTTCATGTGTACAAACGGCTCCACCAGTTTCTGATATTGCGTAAATATCTCCACTTAATGACCACATTGTGTCTCTGAAGAAGGGGCTTTAAGGTGGACCAGAAAGTAATATGAAACCAAACATCAGCATTATGGTTTCCTCCTCGTGAGTCTCAGTTTCACTTCATCCGTAATGAAAGTGTTCTCTGGAAGTGTGATTTACACGAATCAACAAGCTTGAGCACGTTATTATTAACCGTCAAAATGAACACTGTGTAATGTTTTATTCATCACTGCCATCTTTTAAACTTTAGTAAATACCAATAAGAGACTATTAAATTGTTATATTCGGTCAAATGTACCACTTAAGTTGACTTCGAGGATTTTTGTTTGCACTATGCGCTTTAACTCTAACTTTGAAGACACAAACACAAACTCAAATGCTGCCCGTGATATGCAGTACCCCCAGTCACATACCTGATCTAAAGTGAATACATTAGCGATGCATATCATTAGTAATGAAGAAAACACAATGGGGCGTGTTGTGACAGGAGAATGATCAGTCACTGGGCGGAGTGAGATGCCTCGCAGTTAGTGGAGGTCAGCACTTAAACTTAATTATTTTCAGTTACAAACACATGCTGAAATATTTATTCTTCTTACACATTGAGCTTTTATTTTTAAAAAGAAATAGTTACACTTAGTTTTGTTGAACATCCATGAAACAAGTTAGCGCCTGTTATTACTTACATTTATGGCATTTGGCAGACGCCTTTATCCTTTAGCCTTACAATTATCTAATTTATTTTTAAACAATTGAGCAGTTGAGGTGCTCCACAGTGGCAGTTTGGTGGTGCTGAGATTTGAACTCTCAACCTTCAGATCAGAAGTCCAATGTCCTCACCACTGAGCTACCACTTCCCATTGTATTATAGCAACAATAAACCGTTGTTCTCTCACCAGCCTCTCTTTTTTTTTTCTTTTTTCTTGAAGTAATTAACAAGACAAAACATGCAGCTTGTTGCCATGAGAAATAGAAAACTACAAAGCCTTCCGTTCTGAAGACGCTTACTCGCTATTACAAGGAACTAAAACCCAGGACTCGTTCCATAGATGCTAAATAAACCCTTTTTTGATTCTACATATTTCTTTATTAAATGTGTGTCTTGCCCAAGGACACTTCAGTATGTTGGAATCGAACCGCCAACCCTACGATTAGTGGATAATCAATTTCTGTACTACCACCAGAGTCACAACCGCCAATCTGATCCTATGATTTTGACTTGTGGTTGTCAGAAGTATTGTGAGAGCTCTGCCATTGTAGAAAATGATCCGACAACTGACAGGAAATTCTCTTATATTATGTACTCCCTTATAATATGAACTGCTTTTTAAGACACCTTAGATATGGGGAATACTGGGTTATAGTTTGTGTGTCTCTGTGCTATCAACTACCTATGATGAATGAATTCATTTAATTAACTCTTTGAATAAACTGATCAACTGCCTTCTTTTATTATAGCTGACACTTGTATTTTCTGTGCCTTGTGGGGACGTATTTTCGTAGTGTGCTGTGTGTTTTGTGTAAATCTGTCCAAGTAGAAACCCGCCTACTACACAATGCTGTTATCAATGTGTATAAATACTCCTGTTCAAGACGAAATAAACTGGAAGTCTCCATGAACGGCATGTGTGTCAGTGTGTGTGTTCATTTAGACTCCCCATATAATGTGAATACTCCGTGGTAAATCACACTCTCTCACTCATAGCACAGAACTAAGAGTTAAGAGAAATAAAAGGCTGTAAAGACTGACGGAGAGCTGAAGGACATAATCTGAGATTCCTTTGTCTCTAACAACAACCTTCTGACCAATCAGAATCTATTAGGAATGAGAAGCGATTTTTTTATTGGACAGTCTTGTTAGTAGAATATGTTAGTGTTAAGGTTCGAGCATGCAGAATAGTCTTACTGATCATTATTTCCTTGCAGTATACACGATATACAGAATGCACAAATAATCATACTTGGAGATGAGTAGACTTGGAACGGTTACAATTGGTTTATGTAATTGATACAGAATTGAATTACTATTATTAGAATTATTACCCAGTTACGTAATAATGGGTTATTAAATCATAATAATCACATGGTTTGATTTCTGCTTCAGATTGATGGTTTTTATAGGTTTAGCTTTGGAGCCGTCGAAACATTGTGACCTGCTCGATTTGTTTCTTTTTTATTTGTCAAATATTCAACGTTATATGTCTAGGAGTGTAATTAATGCTGATTTATTATCATGCGATGTTTCCCTGTTTAAAGGTTAGTCCACGTTATCTGCATACAAACTCTACAAGCCACACTGGGCCCTTCAGCGCTATAGCAGAACTGATCGGTGAGTCACATTCATTCCAGTTGTTTTATTACTCCTTATATGCCTGTTTGAACAGGTTCCTACTGTTACACAACTGTTCTTCACATGTCTAGTAATGAGTAGTTTGACCTTGGTGTTTTTTAGGGTCTGCTTTATTGTTTTAGCACCTCTATCCCTATTTCTATTCACATCATCTTCTAGTTAAAAGACATGTAATCAGATGAAATTATATATACATATACACTACAGGGCAAAACTGAACTATGTTTAGGATAGTGTTTAGTCTGTACTAATGCTCGTACTACCTTTTAGTTGTTTGGGAATTTGTAAAAAAAAAAAACAGGCGGAGGTCATGGAGGTCCGTAGTTTATTTCTGGCTGAGTTGTTTGGATTTTTCCTAAGTAGGCCCTTAAATACAGTGTGCTTCCAGTTAACTCATAATTATGACAATTGCCCAGTCAGAAGCTGAATCAGTGCTTCTGGAATCACTGATTCATTTGGATGTATTGGATAAATACAGTGTACCAAACAATCATAAAACAAAGAAGAATTATTAGAAAATGAGGATCCACTCTCACAGTGTCACTCAGTCATTCCTTTAGAAATGAATTCCTTTAGAAAACATCAGAGCCTGATTTGCAGTATGGCAAAAAATAAAGGTCAGCTGTAGTCAAACTTATGCAAATTAGAAACGAGAACTGTGTAGATCCAGTCATGACTCGTTAGGCATCAGGATTTGTTTGTTTTGGGGTTTGTTGCATTTGTCATATGCTTTTTAGATCTAACTAGGAATCCAGACAATCCTGGAACTGGGAAACAGGCAGGTAGTATCAGTGATCAGTATCTGATTTTTCCTTTATTTCTTTTTTCCAATTGACAGACAATGCTTATGACCCAGATGTCAGTGCAAAACAATTCTGGATTGATAAAACAGCAGTCAAAGGCCAGGACTGCCTCATCTTCATGGATAATGGAAAAGGCATGGACTACGACAAGATGCACAAAATGCTCAGGTAGGAGTGAGTTCATGAAGCCTGCGTTATACTTCAGAGGAGAATTAGATCATCCAAATCAGTAACTCACTTTAACTGCAGATGCTATAATATCTGATATAGTTTTTTCTTTACTGATGATATTTTTTAATCAATAATTTTTATACAATGACATGTATCCAATTATTCTCTCTCTCTCTCTCTCTCTCTCTCTCTCTCTCTCTCTCAGTTTTGGCTTCAGTGATAAGCAGACAGTAAAAGGCCATGTTCCGGTGGGTCTTTATGGTAACGGTTTTAAGTCGGGCTCCATGCGCTTGGGGAAGGATGCCATTGTGTTCTCAAAGAAAGACGGCATGTGTGTGGGTCTCCTGTCACAGACTTACCTCGAGAAGATAAAAGCACAAAATGTCATAGTGCCTATTGTCAAGTTCACCAAAGATGGACACACTGATATCCTTTATGTACAGTAGAGTAGAGCTGCAACTAACCATTGTTTTGAAAATCGATGAATCCGTCGATTATTTATTCGATCGATCGATTAGTTCTGTAAAACGGCAAATTTTAATTTGACTGTTTTTTTCTTTGAAAAAACGTTCTCACGTTCTGCCACAAGCTTTAAAGCAGAAGTTATATCACTATATTAAAAATGCTAAAAAAGAAAAACAAAAGCACTCACTAAGTGTTAAGTGCTAAGAGGTTGAATGTTCTGCAGTAACACACACATTCACTCATTTGAACACAGTAGCATGTCACTTTATTCTGTAAATGACACTTCTTACATTTATATACAATTACATGTTATGACCCCATTACAGTTACCGCTCGCATAAATACACACTTACTTTAGTTTCTAAATAACGCTAAATATAGCATCAAACTACATATCTGATCAGAATGAATATTTTAGTCAGAGTTGCTGTGCTTCATTTCTATCGCGTGCTGTTTGATTGACGCGCACAGGCGTGGACTCGCGCTCGTTCGGTGAAGTTTAACGGAGACTCGCTCGCTGTCAGGACGAGACTTTATGTTTTATGGAATTGCTGGCGTGAATTTTTAACATTTACAGAAAAGGATATAAAGGTAAACATGTCATTTCTGTACTGAAGAAAACACGTCTGGAGCACGTTTAACAGCACACTCATCTATCGGAGCGTCTGACAGGACAAGCCACTTTAATACACTTACGAGTTTGTTTGAAGCGTGTAATATAAAACATTCTCATGTTTTGGACGGCTTGGATCGTTCACTTTTCCCACAACAGCTCACTCCCTGACATCTGCTGTTTTTCAGACATGTTTTATTTATAGAAATGCGTTTTTCACTGGCAGGGGTTATCCACAGCGACATCACTGACCCGATTAATCCATAATGACATTCGTTGTCATTTATTTTAATTATCGATTTTATCGACTAGTTCTTGCAGCACTAATGTAGAGAGACTGAAACACGTATAGACTCGATAAATGAATGGATAGAAGCATTGAGCAGGAAATTGCTAGAAAAGAAATGTTTGTTTACCAATACAGAACAAGGAAGGTCAGAAATAGAAAACGGTAACTGCCAATAACAAGGTTCTCACCCTATGCACTGATATCAAAGACCCTCTTATGATTATTCACGATACCTGAGAGTTTAAAAGTTCTTCTGTGCAGTTTGGTCCTTAACTTCTCTCTTCACTTAGTGTTGCCCAGGAGTATACGGAGTGTCTTCATGATATCCTGACCTATTCTCTGTTTAACACCAAGGAAGAACTGCTGTCTGAGTTCACTGCCATTAATGGCCCATATGGCACCAACTCCACTGGAACTCGCATCATCATCTGGAACCTACGCAAGTAACCACAATGAAAGGGGGAGAAAGAAATAGGGGATGAAATAAGGAAAACTTGATAGGGAGTACAGAGGCATTGTAGTTCAGATCTTTATATCATGTTCGGTTTACAGAAGTGATGATGAATACATTGTAGACTGCACTGATTGATAAATACTAAAGAGCTATAACAGGATTGCGAGTTAAATTATGTATATTTTTTTATACCATCGTTCCACTTACAGTTCAGATATGTTTATAGTATTATATAGTATTTGGTTGTTTATAATTTGTGTGTTGCACTGGGAGCAAGGATACTATACACAAATGCCATGTGCTGTTCATTGGGTTTCCTATAATTAGCTTTGTTCTGCTGCAGAACGTCCTCAAATGAATCGGAATTTGACTTCACGAAGGATCGCTATGATATTCGGATCCCCTATGACATTAATGAGGACACCAAAGAGCCAGGCAAGGGGCCGGAGCATGGAATGTCGGCACCTGATAGCGAATATTCACTACGGGTGAGATATGTTGTAAATCTTTATGGATGACCATCAAAATGCGAAGACAACCTGGGCGTTCTATAGCGTGAACAAAAATGGGACACTGCAGGCTTTTATACTGATGCGTACATGCAAGAGGATAATGTCCAAGGCTAACTGAATATTAAAATCATCCATTTTCACAGTTTGAGAGCTCACTGAGATAACAGTGCTGGTCAGCACATGATCACATGTGTGGATGTG